AAAGAAAGAAAAAGGCTTGGTGCCTGTAGCTCAGCAGCTAGGGTACCAGACACATACACCATACACTGGAGCCTAGAGCTGGAGCTGGCAGGTTCGAACCCAGCCCGGACCCGCCAAACAACAATGAGAACTACAACCAAAAAACGGCCAGAAATTGTGTGGCGAGCACCTGTAGTTCCAGCTACTTGGGAGGCTGAGGCAAGAAAATTGCTTAAGCCCAAGAGTTTGAGGTTGCTGTGAGCTGTGATGATACAGCACTCTACCTAGGGTGACAGTGAGACTCTATCTCAAAAAAAAAAAAAGGTAACCTTTCCTACAAAGATTTAATTTTTTTTAAAAGTAAAGTTTAAACAAACTTCCTGTGGTTTGAGGTTTGGTGGTAGTTTGCTCTATCACTGTGCAAAGTTTTAAATAGTTATGGAGAATGACATACCAGAGGGGAAATACAAATGAGAAGGAAAATATATCTGAGAGGCATAAATGCAGGATATATATAGGAGAGAAAAAATAGGATACAAGATATATAGGAGAGAAAAATTTAGGTAAGCAGACAAATCATAATGGTTTACAAGGGTTACAAACAATATCAGCAGCTATGACATTTTTAAAGGTACAACAATCTGTAGAGAAGTATTCGTATGTTGTGTGTTCATTAAATACTTAAATTCTGGATAAAATATGAAGCTAAGCTTCTAATAAACCTAACAAACCTAACAAAGGACTGTTGTTTCCGGAAAGAATAGCCACTTACTTGTGGTAGGACAATGCTGCTGACTTTTCAAACATGCTGACCATTTTGCTTTCGGTTGCTTATTTTATTAATAGAACAGAACTAAGCCTGAACTCTGATGAGAAAAATTCCCTCAGTTTCCGGAGATAGACTATTAGAAATGACTAGTAACAGCTGAAAAGACTGAAATATGACATATAATAATGATGTTTTCACTCTCTTAAATAAATGTACACATTTAATTAAAATGACACGCACATATATTCTGCCCATCTCCTTAGCACAAATACATTTTACCACTGTAGGGTTTTTGCTCATGATTAAGTACAGTTCATACTTAATAAAGATAAGAGGAAAACACATTCACTCCATCATCTTAAAAGCGGAATCTTATGCATATACTACATGTTTTTTGAAAAGAAGGCTTTCTTCAAGGTGGTATAAGGAATAAATTAAGAATAAGATTCCATGGTTGTTTCCTACCAATCCTGCGCCATAAATTTTGTTATGAAGAGTTTTGGTAATTTAATCAAAGAAACCTTTCTTATAAAAATGGCAATTAAAATTGCCAAATATAAAACATAAATCTCTACAGATTTGTGCAACTCTTTTCTATTCATCTCCATATTCTCCGTCCATACAAAATCTCTTTGTGTCTCACTCTGGGATCACTGTCAGTAAGCACCTCGTCTACATTTCTTCCTAGGCCTTCAGGAGCCATTGCTTGCCCACATAGCTGATTTCCAACTAGTATAAAAACTTTCCTCAAAACCTCAACTTTATCTTCCCCAAAGCTCGGTATTTCTAGTTGTACAGTATTTCCCTTCCCCCTACCCCACCACAGGTTCTTCTCTTATGCTCAACAATGAACTTACAAGGAATTTTAGAATATGACAGAGCTATCTGTGACCTTGAGCAGGTGAATAAATCTCTGTAAGTCTACACTATGTTATTTACAGAACTAAGAAAATATTCCCCTGAAAAGATGTTGGGAGCTAAATATGCTAAAATTAGTGTAAAAATTTTTGAAGACGAAGAGGATATTTACATGGTCTCAAAGTATCTTTCCCTAATTATTCATTAAAAAGAAAAAATAGTAATGTTACAATGGAGAATACTGACCGACATCCCCTTAACCCAGGGACCGATTTAGTGATGCTAACGTTAGTGGATGAAATAGGATATGTGCATCGTTCCAAAGTATCTGCTCCAAGATATTTATGAATTACAATGGGAAAGTAGTAACTTGACAAAGAATTAATCAACAAACAATACTCATTAACCTAGTAATCAGGTTAACATCACCATCAATAAGACATTACAACACTGTGTACCGCCCTGATATGATGCACTGAAAAGGGCACATTGCTTCTGTGGTTTTCCTGCCCAAGGTGAGGAAGCTCAACTCGATCATGAGAAAACATAAGATAAACTTAGATGGAGGGACAGTCTGCAAAATGACTGACCAGTTCTCTTCAAAGGCATCAAGGTCATGACCCACAAGGGTGAGAAAATGTCAGAGTCAAAGAGACTAAGGAGACATGACAAAGAAATGCAATGTTGAACAGAAAAAGGAACTTAGAGGAAAAACTGGTCGGATCGGATTAAGGCCTGTATTTCTGTTGGCATTGTACCAATGTGAATTTCCTGGTTTTGGTCTTTATATTTCGGTGATGTAAGACATTAACTTTAGGGGAAGCTGGATGAAGAGTGCCTTCTGTACTATTTTTTCAATTTTTCTAAGACTAAGTTTATTTTAAAATAAAAAGTTAAAATAGTTGTTATGAGAATGAAAGAAGATAGGGAAGTGAAAGAGCTTAATGCGATAGTTAGTACAGGCTAAGAACTTAATAAATATTAATTTATTTCCTCCATTACTCTCATTTTTTTTGGAGACTATGTCACCCTCAGTAGAGTGCCACGGTGTCACAGCTCACAGCAACCTCCAACTCTTGGGCTTACATGATTTTCTTGCCTCAGCCTCCAAGTAGCTGGGACTATAGGTGCCTGCCACAATGCCCGGCTATTTTTTTTGTTGGTGGTGCAGTTCCTTAGCTGTTGTTTTGCTGGCCTGGCCCAGGTTTGAACCCATCACCCTTGATGTATGTGGCTGGCGCTATAACCACTATGCTACGGGTGCCAAGCCATCATTACTCATTTTAATATTCCCTAAAACTATCACATCCCTAGGTTGCTCTAAAATCTCTAGAAAGGGCCTCAAGAATTTTGAGTATTGATAATTCAAATTCAGTATCCAATAAAGGAGGAGAAAAATAAAGAGAGAAGTATAAGCAGAAAACTCAGACAATTGAGCTACGAGCCATATAGATAGCTCGAAAGTGCTCATGAAATCTTCATTTCTCTAGACAGTAGGTACTATTATTATACCTAGAAGCCACGTATACCGCTAGCAGGGGTGACCAACTTGTGGGCCTACATGCCGATTTTGTGAGGTCTTTTTTGCTTATTGGTGATGCTGGGGAACATGAGAAGTATGCACGAACCATTCTTCCTAATCAGCTTTTATTACTGTTTGTATATTTAATGTATAGGCCAAGACAATTCTTCTTCCAATTGTGGCAAAACAAACAAACAAACAAACAAATAAAAAAAAAAAACAGTTGGACACCCTGCAAATATTCATTAAATCTTAACTACTCTAGGCACCAGGTACTTTCACAATATCCAATTTTATAGATGAAGAAACCGAGTCACAGAGTGGTAAGTAACTTGCCTAAGGTCACAAATGTAAGTAGCAGAGCCAAGACTAGCACCCACAAAGTCTGACTTCAGGAACTATAGTCTTAACTGCTATTCTTTGCTATCTATAGGTCATATTGCTACTGTGAATTCTGTCAATGTGCCTTTTGCAGTTGTTATCACAAAACCATTGCATGTTCATCCTAAATCATTTTTCTGCAACATGCACAAGTCATTCCGGATTTTGTATTTAAGTTTGCCATTTTTTTGTAATTATTCTGGCTTGCATT